CTTGATCGTTAATTTTGTTCTCGGCAAACAATATTATGAGCTCTATTCAAAAATATTTTTCAGTGTCCATCGACATGAAAATAACAAAAAAAGTTCATGCTGGACTCAAACCCGAGTCCCAATAGCAAAAAATCCCTAGTGCCATGCGCGTTATGAGTGAGCCACGGATCAATATGATGTATTTTATCATCACAGGTTATTTTCTCACATTAACATTGTTAAAAGAGTCAGAACAATTCAACCCAACCATCTTTTATAATGTGAGCGAATGTATGTACACTTTAAGCCAGATAATATAAATATTATAGGATATATATAGTAATAGTAATATTATGGCATTTGCTTTGAAATAGTATACTGACTGAGCATCATTAAGACCCACCCACCGAGATCATATCCTAGTTTATCAGCCTGCGAGCCTACATTATGTTGTGATAAGTGGTCATTTTACGTATTATGTATTCTAGTGCACACATTAAGTTCACTTATGCAAATCAGGCCATGTGTTTTGTTATGTAGTAGCTATAATCATCACCTGTCATGGAAATACAACAATAACAAGGAATTCATATTAATATTACCAAGTTACACAGAAATAGATAAAACACATGAGAACAAAGACCACATGGATAAACGCATACACGTTAAGTTAGAAACGAAAACATGTTAACAACAGTGTGAAAAAGTATGAATATATGTGTTTCTAGTTCTCAACGTAGCCTATGTGAGTACCCTCGTCATTCGGTGTCGCTGTATCGAAATTTAACCAAGTACACAGTCACATCTTATCTGGATAAGTGTGACAAAGTGCAGAATACCGTTTGATAAGGGATCAATGTGTGTAGTCTTTAATATTAAACATGACCGCTGGTTGATAGCCACAGAAGTCGTATCACAAGTTATCCTGGGCGGATCACAGCTCCACAGCCGAAGACTACTCCACGCTGCTTTCAAACTGTGAGAAAACAACGTGTGCTTCACTTGTAGGCTGTCTGAAGGTATACACAGGTCTCAGATGGACTTGGTATCACATTAAGAATGATATTCAGTCATAAGTCTGGCAAAAATAAATGGTTTAAATGATTTATTCAAGCTTGCAATGCAATGTTTTGAACACACATCCCCAGTCACCTCATGTGTGTTTTTGTAGTCCTCGCTGTACGCGTCCGCATATCAGCATCGCAACCACAACCTCACACACTGGTACTGAATGTGCATCAAAGTTTTCCTATGGAGTCAAATATACCAAAAGATTTATGTAAACGACAGAAGAAGCGATCGAAATGTGTATTTCCTGGTTATTCGACAAAGGCCACGCCCCTGATACATCTGCCTATACCGTTAAAGAATATTACCAGTTGTTCTGACTACATCTTATTCGGTAACAGCGGCGGCGGCTTTATGGTCATTCTTCATACAGTGATAGTACATTGTGTGTTACCTGATTTGTCTGTTGAACAACACCTGTTGTGAAACAGTTATTCTCCCAGCACTGATAGTAATACACAATCAGTAAGTAAGCTCATACGTGAATACTGTTAATGATAACTATTAGTGAGTGCCTCATGACGCTACGGCGGAGCATCGGAGCAGCTTCACATCAGCTAATGATTCAGGGAGGAACCTTTCTCTCAGCGCGTGTTTCTGCGGAACACAATCTGGCTCGGAAGCGATACAAAAACAACATCGTAGAGCCGGATATATCACAAGCAAACGCGCACGCACACACAAATGCACGCGCGCGCACATACACAAACGCACGCGCACATACACAAACGCACACGCACATACACAAACGCACACACACAAACACACTTACCTGTCTCGCGGCTGTGAGCGTGCCGTCAACGTCAAACAGACAGAGCGTGCTCGGGTCCTCGGTGGCTCTTCTCATCTTCCTCTCTCTCTGCCACTGCCTCTCTCACTGTCCTGAAGATGATTGTCTCCTCTGTCCCTCAGTGTCCTCAGTCTTTGTCGCTTTGCTCCAAGAGTTGTTGTATGTCTCTCGTCCTCGCCCTTCACATCTGCAAAAGTGCAGAAATCGCAACTTCTTCTTCTTCTTTTTGTTTAATGGCGGGTTTCACCTAACGTTTAAGGTGCATTACCGCCACCTACTATGCTGGAGTGTGACTGTGGACCATGGGAAAAACAGTGAGCTACAAGGAAAAAGAAAAAGGAAAACAAATTAAATATAATTAAAATAATTCTCTTCATCAACCCAGTATTTTTTAAGAACTCAAATGAAGTTATCTTTCTCGCAACTCAAGAGATTCTCAAGATTTAATAATCCTCCACATTTCTTTAACTTTCTTCTCTGTGTTTTATACATCTGGCAGTGACAGCATGTTCGACCTTTTCTTCATCTAAGCCACATTCACATGCTCCATGATGGATGTTAACTACTTCTGCTTCCTCTTCTTCGGGTTTTACTTACTGCCACCGTTCTGTTCCAGTGTGGCGTAGACAATACCTAAAGTTCTCAATCTCCCCCATATAAAAAAACACACAAAACCAACGATGATAAAACACCTCACCTCTGTGCCCCCCTTACTCATGCTCAATACTCCCTTTAAAGTGACATCCTGTTCTCCTACCTCCTTTAAATGATTCATCAACATCTCTCTCCGTGCTTCATACTTTATACATCTATCGAATCCTCCTCCATGACCTTGGTTGACCTCACATATTGAGACTTCAACTGATTGTTAATTAACAAGGAAATATTCTGTTGGTGGCAACGAACGTGGAGATTTTCAAGTTGGACCTTTGACCTTTGAAGATCTTTCTTCAACGTGTTGTTTTACAGCTAGTGAAGTCTCATAAGCTGTAAAGAAAGATGTTGAAGTTTACACACACTGTACACACACACTGTCCACACACTGTACACACACTGTACACACACACACACACACACACACACACACACACACACACACACACACACACACACACACACACACACACACACACACAGTACATACAGTACACACACAGTACACACACACACACACACACACACACACACACACACACACACACACACACACACACACAGGGATAGCAGAAAACTGAATGAGCTTCAAGATGAAAAGAGTGACATTAAGAGAAACCAAGCACTATGCAACCTGCCTCTTTTAAATAAAGGAAAACATTTGCTGCTTTTGATTATGTTTTTAAAAAAATTAGAGGAATCCAACTCTATGGCTTCATAATTAGGCCAAACTTTGGTGCTGCCTACCGTTATTTTGTTAGAATTGTTATATTGACTGAAAGGGCTTAACTTTGTCACAATTAAATTATCATCAAACCATTGCATCAACAAAAGGAAGAACATTTAGCTAATGTGCTAATTTGATATGCATTTGCCTGACCCAACCCCACCCGTTCCCCAAAGAAAACCCACCTAAATATATAAGTACTATATTTATTTGTTGTTCTTTTCTTTTCACTATCTCTGTAAAGCAACTTTGAGCACCCGTAAAAGCGCTTACAAAATAAATCTATTATTATTATTATTATCATTAAATGCAGAGGTGACCTTAAGACAAAGTTCTTAGCTCTGATCACCCCCC